GGGACCAAGTCAGTATAATGCCTATATTTACAAATTTTAATTTGACACAAGACCACAATACTGGTAATACAGAAGTGATCAAGTATGAGAGCGTGTCATCCAATGTAGCCTTCTTCCAAACTAAGCTAGACTTAACAAATATCACAATATTTATGTTTGTAAGTATAGCACATCGATACTTGTTTTCTGATTTTAGTCAGCAATTTTGATGGCAGTGGTGGGATGGAGACATTAGAGCAAATTTTTTCTTTAGTTCATACTTGATTCTCCTTTACTGAGCTTCTATAACATATTCTTGAGGCATGGCTGGAAATTGATAAACAGAGCTTAACCTTTTCAATGAAATGCTACCAGGCTCAACCATAGAACAACAGGCATTTTGTCCTAATAATGAATTCAAAATTCTTCCTTCTGGGGCTGATAAAATTATAAACCAATTTGTCCAGCAATAACTGTCAGGATATTAGCAATCATACATTATTTTTTTCTTTTAGTTTTTTCATTATGACTTTCAGACATTTCTATAGTCAAATTGTAAAAAAACAGGAATCAACAAAGGTGTTCATACATTATGAAATGGACAAAGTCCAACAATTATTTTAAGACATTTTATGTTTATACATTCTTTTTATAGATACAAATATTTAAGTAAATGCTCTGTTTACAATCAACAGTATTAAACAACATTTACCGGCCTGAATGTTCGAGAAATTTTCATAGAAAATATTCATCCTCAGACAGGATTCGCACCTGTATCCTATACGGAACTGTCATATAGCCTGACGTGCCTTTTAACTGATTTGGCTACAGAGGATCATTCGGTTAGCAAGGTCATGGATGATTGAAGTTAAAAAGCAGTAAATTCGACCTTGCTAACCGAATGATCCTCTGTGGCTGGAGGTGCGAATCCTGTTGGAGGACGTATATTTTCTATGAAAATTTCTGACATTCAGGCCAGTAAATGTTGCTTAATACTGTTTATTATAAACAGAGCATTTACTTAAATATTTGTATCTATAAAAAGAATGTATAAAAATGTCTTGAAGGTGTTCATAATTTGTTTAACAATTTACCAGAATTTAACTGCTCTTGTTTATCTTAATATCAAAGTAAAATATTTCAGATTAATAATTTTAGACAAAAAAAAAAAAAAAAAAAAAATCAAGTGTAGGGATATCTTTTAATAGAGATGCTATTGTTGAAAAAAATTAATATCTTTTTCTGTATTAAATTATATGAATTACATGTTAACTTGCAAAGATGAAATAAACAGACAAAAATTGTCATTTCTATTTAAAATGAATTCACTTTACGAATATTTAAACGTTTTTTTTATTTATTTTGTTTATATCATATTGAGTAATAAATAACTTATTTTTCTTCATCAATTTTCAGCAATATACAAGTAAACTACAATAAAAATAACTTGGCAAAAGTATTTTCAGCATATTTTTTAAAATTTATTTGAAAGGGATTGACGCTCAAATATGTAACTAATTTTTTCAACTCTCTCTCTATACATTTGTGTGTGTGTGTATATATATATATATATATATATATATACACACACAAATAAAAAAATTCAGCACCTGAAAATTGCATTGTGCATGAAATTCTGAATTGTGCTACTGGTGAGGAAAAAGCATGTGAATATATATATATATATATATATATATATATATATATATATATATATATATATATATATATTGTTTTTCCTCCAAAGAAACAATACCTTAATTTTTAAGAATAAAAACATTCTTTCTTGAAGCTTTACTTTTAGTGTTAATTTCAAGCTAATTTAATATTTCTAATAAGCAAAATAGTTCGCTATTTTTAAAAACCAATTTAAATTGACTGGATTGAATTTTCGTTTTGAAATTGCTAAAATTGCTGATTTTAGTGCCATTTTTCATCTGTCATCATAATGTAATTATCTTGATAAAAATTTTTTCAAAAATAAAATATAATTTTCTGGAACTTTGAGGAATATTAACAGATTTAAAGTTTAATGAATCTGATTTTAAATATCTTCCTTATTTTAAGATATCACAAAAATGTATTTTTTAACACAGAGGTAGGTGTTTTGATTAGGTGTTAACAGCTCTATTAACAACTTGACAGCAAGAAGTTTATCTATTTTTTTTTTCTATTGGGGACATATTTATAAAATTTACTTGAGGAATATAATGTGAGTGACATTTTTACATAATTTTTTTTTTTTAAAATACCAAGTAATCTTAAAAATTTAGGAAAATATTCTAAGTAATATTCTGACGCAAATGCCATTTCTGGCAGAGTGAATTGCGTTATGATGCTCTTTATCTCACAAGATGGTGCCCAACTGACACTACTATATATATATATATATATATATATATATATATATATATATATATATATATATATATATATATACAAAAAAAATTATTCAAAAGCAAGTTCTGTTAGAGCAACATGGCTGGACTGGATTTTTTTTTTTTGTATTTTCAGTTTTCAAAATGTTGCTACATCTCCAGATCAAAATTGTGGCCAAAATGTCTAAAGATATTTTTTTTTTTTTTTTTGTTCAAAATATTTTTTTGATGCTGGTGGTTATCATCAAGAATTGACATACATATCATGCCCCATAAAATATTTTAATACATTCCTTTTCTGGTGCTTTCAAGCACTTAAAAACTTCTTCATATGAAAACACTTGTATGATTCATGTATATTTAAATTTGGAATGCAGAGTAAAAAAAAGTAATGGACAAAACTTTTGGTTCTGACAACATTCACAGTCGAACACAGATATGGAAGATGTGCGGTACACTACATGGGATGCAGGCTGTTTGAGGAAGAGTTTTCTTCAACCTGAAGAATTTAACAGCTTTTGCAAGCTACCTCTGACCAAGTATCTTGAGATGCACCAACAAACCAAACCTTCAGAAGACTGCACAAGTATGCTGTCCCAACAAAATCTTAAGACTTGAACTCAAAAGATTTATGAAAGTCCCCTCTAGTGTCAAATCTTGTACCAGTACCACCCATCATTCCTGAAATGTTTGTCTCATTGTCAAAATGCACTGGCACAAGTTCATAAATAATGAAGAGTTCAAGCATACCAAAAGCCTTTACTACTGAGTGATATATATATATATATATATATATATATATATATATATATATATATATATATATATATAATATATATATATATATATATAAAACAGTATTTAGAAAAATATGACAAACTGGAAAAGATTTGGGGGGGGGTTGTGATGCATTTCATCCATTGGGATTTCATCAGACTGGGTTTTGTTGACGTTGCCACAAGTCTGAAGGGTCTTGAACATATTTCCAATATATTTCTCCTCTTTGTAAATATTGAAGGCTGCATTTGAGTGATCTTAAATAGAATCCAATGATCATTCCGGATTTTATTTTGTTGTTATGATGGGAGTAGAAGTTTATTAAGTTGTTTTTATTAAACTTCAATACCCTAACAATTTCATTTTCAATACGAAACAAAAGGCTTATAAAATATTCCAAAATAGAAGAGCTGTCCTTCCTAACAAACTCCACGAATCAAAAAAATATATTATTCTACCCACTACTATCATAACTACAATAGAAAAGAATTTGTCTAAACACAACAAAAAATTTTTTTACAACTCCATCTAAACTAATCAAAGGCTTAATGAATAAAAAAGAAAACAACCAGCCAAAACATGAAGGAGGAATTTACTCTATCAAATGAAGGAATTGCCAGAATGAATACATTGGAGAAACCTCAAGAAGTTTAAACAAGAAAGTATATGAACACGAAAGTGACATTTTAAAAAACAACACACAAAACATGTTGGTTGTTTACCATAAGGAAACTGACCACAATTTTGATATAGGGAATGCTATTTTGATTAAAAGAGAAAATAGTCCACTAAGACAACAATGTTTGGAAAGTGCCTTGATCACTAGTTCAGCCAAAATAAATTTGCATTCAGGCTCTTACAATATATCACCATTTTTGGTAGATTTTATATTGTCACAGTGTAAGATAGTCAGGGACAAAGGTGATTAAGAGAAAAAGAATACAGATGTGGCAACATCAACAAAGCACAGTCCGATAAAATCCTAATGGATGAAACGTGTCACAAAAAGCTTTCCAGTTTGTAATATTTTTCTATATATATATATATATATATATATATATATATATATATATAGATGCAGGCAGATAGATAGATATACAGACACACACACAGATAGCCAGGTATCAATGACCAAAGACCACAAACTTTCAAAGATCCAATTGTTAGGCAAGCTGGCATCTGGTCAATGCACAAGAGGGAATCCCTAAAGAGAACCCTTATTTCATATCATAAATGGATAAAGGCCACCTTGGCACTATAACAGTTTTCAGGAAACCACTTTCATTAAAGAGCAAAGATTAAGATACAGTACTATAAATGTAGCACTCCTCCTAATCACCAATACTGCTTCTGCATCCACAGTGAGAAAACCTGTTTGTCTTGTATTGGTCTTGCCAATCATAGGTAAGCCTGCAAAAAACACAGAGCCTCCATCTGTATCAATATTCATGAGGTGAAAGCCATGCATAGCACTTTCCTACATTATCAGAAGAGTCTACTACACAGAGATAGATAAACATCTCGTGATTGAATGAATAAAACTGCTACAATATGTTTATACCAGAAATAATGTATTAAAAGAACTCTTAAATTGTTGATTGATTCATTTTTATGGCTTATCAATCCTTTGCAGGTTATTTAAAGCCTGAAAATATTTTTAGATTGTAAGAAATTTTTTTTTTTAGATAATGATTTTAAGGATACAAGTCTTACTATTTAACCCATAGCTTTAAGAAGAGGTAGATTCTTACCTTTCCCAAGGGTATTTGTGTTTAAGTGAATATAATGAACCCAACAGGAATTGGAAGTCAGCTCTCCAATTAACAATTCCAAGCCATTATCCATTACAACACCCATACATCCAAGCTTACAGCACCTGGTATTCCCAAATGGTCACCCATCTAGGTACTGACCAGGCTCATTGTTGCTTAACTTCGGTGATCATACAAGGACCGGCATTTCAACGTGATGTGACTATAAGCACTTAAATTGATGGTTGGCTGCTTTTGTTTAGCAGCATATCAACCTCTATGGGTTATTTAGTGCCGAAATCTAAATATTTTGATCACAATTTTATGGCTTCAACTAAATATATACTGTAAATAGGTATTGTTGGTAATTTTATTATAAACAGGTATTGTTGGTAATTTTTTTATAAATAGGTATTGTTGGTATTTTTTTTTATATAAAAATGTGTTTTTGTACCTTTATGTTTTGTTTGGGTTTTCACTATTTGTCCATAGCTGAGAGGTGGATCTGGGAACAACAGCAATTAAGAGGTGGTTTCATGCTCCTAAAATCCTCCAATCTCCCAATAAGAAGCCTTACTGCTGAATGTAGTTTATCATCATACCCAGGACTACATATATTGTAATTGGTTGTGCAGATAGATAAAGAAACTTTTAATATATGTATCTATTAAAAATTCATCTCAGTTATTAGAATTGTTCCCATATACAGTATGGGAACAAGGTGAAGAACTTGTTATGTTTTATTTTGTTTAATATTCAAAGTACACTGAACAAAAGAAAATGAAGAGCAATATAACGGTTTTGATATTTAAGCAGGCAACAATTGCAAAATTACTTGAAATATGTTGCCAATTTTCGACAGTACATGTAAACTTAGATCATTAAATGCACAATCCTTAGTACAGAGAATGAGAAAATACCTGTTTACTTTTGTGTGTGTGTGTGTATATATATATATATATATATGTGTATGTATATATATATATATATATATATATATATATATATATATGAACCAAATTGTAACTACTTGCTGTAACTGTTATTTACATTAGTTTCTAACTTCTGTTATATAACTTTAAAGGCATATCAAGCAAGCACAGTGGTTGTCTGGTGATTAAAAGAACTGGGATCTTAATGTTTGAATGATGCTGTCATCATAGCAATGGTATTTCAAAACGTAAACCAGATACTTTGAACCTAAAATATAGACTACTCTCAGGCAACAACACAGCAGTTTTTTGCAACAAATATATAATTAATGATTATCTCTATTCAAAAGGCTAAAAGTGTAATTTCATATTAGAAGAATATTTGTAGTGGTGTACATACAACAGTTAGCTGGTCTTACAAGTCAATGATAGTTCAATCCTTGCCAAGTGCCCAAAAATGCAGCTTTTTTAAAATAAAAAAAAACTTAGCTTAAACTGGGATAAGTTCACACGTGGAGAACCCAGTGAGGACTGATCACACAAAATTTATACATTTTTAAACAAATACATATTTCATGTTATTTTTAGCATACTTTATCAATGAACTGTTTAAAAAAATTTTTTTTTAAATAGCTGATATTTTATTTTTAATTTATTATGCAGTCAATCTGTAACAATATCTAGTTAGTGAATTGCAACAGCAAATTTCTACAAAGAGAAATTAGTTTTTAAGAAAGTAAGAACTTTTTTTTTTAACAAATCAACTTTTACCAACATTTAACTAATATCATCATTGTTTTTTTTTGTTTTTTTTTAAAGAATTTTGGCTTACGTATTGTTTAGCTGAAACACTAAGAAGAAGAAAAAAAAAAGAAGGATGCTCATCAGAATATTTTATGTAATACTGGGATAAGAATTATCCCAAAATTTCAGATTATATTTCAGTTTAAAAACAAATTTATCATGTCTTTCATAATTATTTTTTTTTTTTTTTAATATCATGTCCCTTCAGGATACAAGTAACTGTTCTCCAGAAGATTCTTTTTCTTAGCTGTGATTTGTTATTAATTTTTTTGAAAAGATAGCGGAATGATTTCCCTATTGCCTTTTACATGGTTTTGAATTCACAGTTTTTCTTAAAGACTGGTGCCATCTAAGGCTAGGAGCTTAGTCTACCTTGCTATTTAACACATAACCAGAGACTGATTCATGCTTTTCCCAAAGGTATTTGTGCAAAAGTGAATGCAACCAACTAACACCGAGCTGGAACATGGCTTGTCAATCCATACACTCATTCTTCCTTTCAGAATACATGAAGTGAATTTGCTAATTGGAACATTACAAACTGATCCAACATAACAGCTTTTTTTTTTTTTTTATTGTTTTAGCCGCTGAAGTCACCCAAGTCCAAAAGAAGTTAATCTTTGTCACCCATCCATGTATGAATGAGAGTAATCAATGGTGAGAAGACCAACAGACCTTTTTTCTTTATTTTATTTCTTTTGAATAAATAATGACTTGTGTGCTTAGAGTCTCTTTTCTTAGGATGAATGAAAGTAATTGCTAAGGGAAGGGAAGATATAAGTAAAACTTATCACCAAAGCTTTTCTGTTTGAGGGAAATACAAGATCAGACAAAATAATTAAAAAAAAAAAAAAAATTCTTTTCATTTGTTGCTTCAGTTGTTGGTTGGTAATTCCCCCCAACCGATTGAGTTACCAAGCTTATTTTTTTGTTTGTTTTTAGTTACTTGAAACACAAGAAAAAATATATAAATAAAAAATAAATAAATGCAGCACAGCTGTGCAAATAAATCTTAGAAAAAAAAAAAACAAAAAAAAAAAAAGTTTCTAGGATGAAATACATCTCTTGACAAACATAAAAATTGGTACTAAAGTCCAATTATTCATTTTTGAACCAATGAAAGAGGTTACAGAGACAGCTTTGAAAACCTTATTTTTTAATTTAATTGAATTTCTGGAATGAGAAATTATTATATATAGTTTAACTAATGACCTTATCTATGTTGCTGTTATCACAAAGCTTCAGCCATTGTGTCCTCTAACCTTCTTCAGGTGTGTACTAATTCAAGTAATATTCAGGGAAAATCAAACTGGGAATTTTATTTATCTGGCAGGGGGAGACTGTTCTCATTCTTTTGCGCTTTTAATACTGCTTTTTAGTTATTGCTAGTTCTATTTTCACTGAGTCTAAGTGTACTACCCAGCCCAGGGATTGGACTCGCAATTACTATGTCACCAAATTCACAAAACAATGCCTTGACCCTCTTATTTTTCAAGTTTTTTAAAATGCTCTGTCTATTCCTGGATACAGGAAATTATAACACTACAAAGATCCTTCATTATTATCCAAATTGCCATGATTTCTTGAGAAAGACACTGAAGTGGTTACCCATTGCCTTCTCCATGATTTGAATTCAGAGTAATCCTTATGTTATATAATGATTACAACCCTAGGGTAGAGAGCATAATCTACTCTGCTATTTAATCCAAAGCTAGAGGCTTTAAGTCTACTTTGCTTATAACATATCCACTTGGCTTCCACAATTTATGGTGACAACAGTAGTTAGGGTCTTTTACAAGATGTTGCCTCCAACATGACTCACTCAACACAAACACACACAACCCCCCCTAAAAAAAAACAGCTATTTGAAAGCAAAATTTGTACAACTTATGAATATTTACAAAGCAGTGAAAAACCCACTTGAATTTAAAAGGGTGATTTACACAAAATTGGATTCGTCTTGATACTTTAAAAAAAAAAAAAAAAAAGCGAGCTGTTTTCCTTTCATGGAGTACGCATAAAAGGGGTTTATAAATTAAAAAATTGGTGTTTTATCTTCATTTGTATATCAGTTTTCTACTTTATCAACGTTTCTAGCTAATTTTTACTGACGCACTCCTAAAACATTCCTGACAGTTAGAACAATATGTGTGTGTGTGTGTGTGTGTGTGTGTGTGTGTGAGTGAGTGAGTGAGTGAGTGAGTGAGAGAGAGAAAAAAAAAAAATTCCACTTTTTGGTGGGTGGGATGTTATCTGTGAATGTAATTTATAACAGTAAAAGGGGAAAAAAAGGAGTAGGGTCGAGTAGATTTCTAAGCAAAAATAGAATAGGGAGAAAATTAATTCTTCATTTGAAATATTCTAGAAATTTGGTGACTAGTTAAAATTTTTTCACCCAAACAAAATAAACGATTTTTTGTTTACATTGATCATATGCAATTTCACTTTGATATTTTTTATTTTCACATGTTCAGTTTGTCAGCTATCAAATGTTTTGTGATCTTCCTCCAGTTGAACTTTAATAATTACTATGAACAACATAAAATCCATCTTTATTTTAAAATTGTGAGAATGATTATAGAGAAAAAAGCAAATAATCAAAATCACACTTGTTTTTTTTTTTTTTTGTTAAGATTCTTTTCTTTTGGGAATAAACTATTTTTGTTAGCTAATTTGAAGACAAGAATTTCTGGAAACATGGCATTGGTTTGGTATTGTATTATAGAAACATTTCTAGACAAAATTTTGGGAAAAAAAAAAAAATGGCTATAAAAATAAATAATTTAAAAATAAAATTAAATTAACCATTTCATTTATACTGAAAGTTTGGGTTAAAATTCAAAATAAAATCAAGTTTTGTATCTCTCCGGTATTTTTTCCCCAAATGTTTAAATTTTTTTTTTTTTCCTTTTCAAAATATCAGCAACAATTTCCAATTCCTAGGAGATTAAGGAATTAAAATTCAACCATCAGATTTACAGTAAAAAGAAAAAGAAGCCCTTGTTACCCAAATAAAAGAAAAAAACTCGAAACATTTAAAAAAACAAAAAAAAAAAACTAAAAATTGGTTAACTTAATAATGAAAAAAAAAATGACTATATTTTTGTTGAGGTCTTAAAAGTCTGATAACTATCCTAACAGAAATTTTGCGATTTCTCTCTCTAGGTTCAACAACAAATTTTAAAATTGTCATAAAATAAATGGCATCATCCTCAAATTTTTTTTAAAGTATTTATTTTAAAGAAATAACAATAACATCATTTATAAAAACAAACAAAAAAACAAAACAATCATTTTCCATCAAAGTTGGTAACAATTATTATTGAATAATAAAGTTACAAGAAGTATATCCTCGAATTTAACGTCCGGAACAAATTCCACATACCAAATATTGAATTGTCATCTTTTTTATTTTATTCAACCTCATATTCCGAATTATTCTCATCTTATGAGGAAGGAATTTTATGTCCCACAAAAAGTTTTTTTTTATAATCTTGCTTAATTTAAAAAAAAAAAAAAAAAACTTTTCGTTGGACATTTAAATTTTCTAGTTTTCTAATTTCATTTAATAAGAAAAATAAAAAAATACAATACCTGACACATATATCATCTAGATCCTTTTTCGTAAAAGCCTGTCGGTCTTGAAATAAATTGTTCAGAGCATGAAGGGCACACAGTTCCTTCATTTGTTTTTCATGATAAATACCGTTTGTGCTTTTAGTGCTCGCCGTGCACTGACCATTCGAATTGCTTGTGTCTCCGGAATGTGGGTCCATGGTGGGTGACCTTCGGTTTATACACGACCAAGCAGAACACACAGAAACAGGCCGCATTGGTGGTAGTCCCAGTTGAATAACCCCCACTCGTCGACACTCGTCAGATAATAACTGGCTCTGACCGACATGGGTTCAGACGGGAGGCCCCTTTTTTTCGGTTGGGTTTTAAAAATAATGCTTCTTGTTTTTCGTCTACCCGGATCTTGTAAAAAAAAAATGTAAATTAAAAATGTGTTTTGAAGCAATTTTTCTTTTGGCCTGTGAGATTTTTTTTTTTTTAAGTCCGATTTATTTTGATGTAGTTTTAGTCGGAGTTAGTTTAAATTGGTACAACTGAACTGTAGCAAGGAAAATAAGTGATACATCTTGTGGTCGTTGTTGGTTAATTCCATAGAACTTAATTTATCTAAGAAAATAAACACTTAAAACAATAAAAAAAATATAACTCCTGTGTCAGTTTTCCATAAAACGTCCTTTAAATAACGGAACTTTCAGGTAGTTGTACATAAAATTGTATTATAAAAGGAAGATATTTAAAGATATGATAAATAAATAAAATACATATTACAATCGAAGGTGTAAATTAACACACGACACGTGTCTTCTTTCTTTCGTTGTTTTTTTTTTAATTGAATCGTGAAAAAAAAAATATTTAGTTTTTCCACTTATGACAAAATAAATTTCCCCCCAAAATTCCAAACACAGCGGGTGGGGGAAAGATGAAAGAAAACAATTTAAAAAAGCCTCGAGTCAATATAGTAAGTAAAATGAATACATAATAGATAAATAAAAACTAAAATTAAAAATCAAGAGATAAAAGTAACCGGTTCTTCAACAGAGATCCGAGCTTCTTTGATGTTCAAAGAAAATTAATTTGTTGTTCAAACCAACACTTCTTTACCGCCCAAACTCGACAACTATCTTTTTCTTTCCTTTTCCATTAATCAAATATCCATCATTACATCATTATTATTATACTAATACGGGAAGTTAAAAAAAAATATCTCACAATTATTCATAAACCACGAAAAACAAAAGGAAAAAAAATCGAGTTACTCCGAAAAGCAACAGTGTAAATAAGAAACAACTTGAATGTTAGGTGGACGAACTAATAAATGAAATTGAAAGATCACCAGAGATAAATAAAAATGATTGTAGGTAAATAATAAGTATATAAATCCAGTAAAGAAACTAAAGATGTAATTGCAACACTACCAAGCTCTCCAATCGGGTAGACAGAGATGATGACAAGAGGGATGCGTAAGGTAAGGAGAAATAGTACCGTCGTCGTCCGCCGATTACGACGGCGAAAATTTTTTTTTTACTTTGACGACTGCTGGATTTTTGCATTGAAATTGCCTATCTGCGTACTACGTCATCAACTGGTATGTATGGTAAGTATTTCTGATGACGTATTACGCTAAAGCATGACAACAGGGAACAAAACCGGGTTTGAAACCGGGTGCAAACCCTTATATAAATACGGAAAGTACCGACTAAAGCCGGTGATTTATTTTTTTTTAAAAAAAACCTCTACGAACAAGGCAATTATTTTCGTGATTATTTTTTAATGTTTCTATGTTTCACCTATTTTCCCTTAAAACAAGGAGGCAAATTAGAAATGAACTTTTATCAAACCTACAAAAAAGTTTACTTTATTTTGATAAAGGGAGATAATTAAGTTTGATTTCCTCAAAGTTTTAGGCAAACGGAAGTGACGAGAATAAGAAAAGGTCCCATATGTAGAGCTGTCACAATTTTGTTGATTCTTTAATACTGCTATTAATCTGAAATATATCGTATCATAGGGAGATATGAAAAAGAATTATGCTAGCGCAATTATAATCGATCGTTTTTATAAAGGTATTGGTGAATTTTCGTAGTTTATGTAAGTGTCATTTATGTAATTGTTAACTATGTAAGCGACCTGCAGGTGCTGAAAACCTCCCTAAGCAGCAGTAGCAGCGGCCCAAACCGGACAAGACGAAAACTGGCTGTCTGGTGTCAAAGAAGGGTTAGCTGATCTCAACACTTTGCTGATCATAGACAGCTGGAGTGGATAATCAAAAGACATTTTAAAAAATCGTCAATAACCTTGGATTAGCCCCAGGTTAGCCGCTAAATTTATTTCATTATTAATATTATAATCGTTACAGAAAAAAAGAAAGATTGCACAGCCAGTGGCCGACTTAAAACTCATTATTGACTCAACCATCTTTACACTTTTTTTTTTACCTTTTTAAAATATTTTAACGCATTTATTTGCATTGCAGCAATTTAATTTTACAGTGTAAGCATTCCATATGTGACCCCCGCACAATTCCCGCTTTCACAATCTAAGTTGCATTAACTTTCTAAGCATTTGAATAACAACAAATTTTTTTATTATTCTTTCTTATTGAAAAGAAATGTATTAGTCATCGCATATATTATTTAAAAATGACTTGTGCTTATATTGCACTGTGGAAACCATAAAGTACAAGTTAATATCAACAAACTAGTTATCTCCTTAGTGTTTAAAGTCATACTGTTTTTACTTTTTTATTTGTTATGTCAAAATAAATATACTGTGAAGTATGTGTTGTATGTATGTGTAACTATACACTCACACCAACCAATTTACTTACCTATCTAAACACGTGTAGTATTGTACAAACACGAACAGTTCCAAGGTTGATAAGTCAGGGAGAAAAAAGTTCTTGTTATGACTAAAAAGAAAACTAAACCCTGACAACGATAACACGTGTACTACGAATATACAGGTTGATCGATAGAGATCGATGAAGAATATCAACAAGTCCTCTTGTCTCCCGAAGAAACCCACAGTTCTTTAATATTTCTTTACTAAAAACTAGAATACAAATGTGAGTGCATTGTTAAAGCTGATAAGTTGTCGATTGATTTTTTTTTAAACTTGAAACTCCACATATTTACAATCGATAAATCAATGTATTGTAGAAAAAGAAAGCACGTTCGATACAGTCTCTGTTGATGCCCATCATAAAACACATGGTTTGTTTGTCTATTTTTACAAAAACAAAAATACTGGCAGCATCATACAAACTTATGTTAAATAAATAAATCTAAAACTTTGTGAATGAAGTGTTTTTGCAGACAATAGATTTTTTTTTTAATTACAACTGAACACGTAACTGGACTTACAGAAACAAAATATTGTCTTTGGCTCTTTGCATTAAAAACAAATCCGTCATTTAATGATCGTTTTTTTTTTTCATATTAAAACTTTTAAAATATAAAAATAAAATAGTGTCTGTTCTGTATGATTGTATATTTGCCATTGAGATCAGTTGGTGCATAATTTTGTTTTAATTGCCTAACTTCAATTTCATAAGTGCCTTATGTATTTTTGACTCAACGTTAATTTAATAAATAAGGCAACTCTCGTAACATTTTTTGTATTAGTGTATTTGATCCTCACTAATTACCCCAGATTTGTGGCATATTTTCTCATTTAAAGAAAGCTAAGCGTAATACAATATGTGCATAAACGTCTTTGACCAGGGGTACCACATCATCAGGGACGGATATAGTTTTTTTGTTCTTAAAGAAAGACTATAAAGAAAGAGGCTCTACCGGTTTGATAACTTACTTGCACTTTCTTTCGAATAACGTATGAAAAAATAAAATAAAGAAATGGTAACTTGAGGCAATATAAATCGTTTTTGGGGAAACATGGTCAGAAAATATTAAAAAAAATGTTAACGTAAACAAAAAAAAAAAAAATATTGCTTGTCCAGAACAGTTATTTTTTTTTTCTTTTATAACATCGTTAGGTGAAGAATTGATTAAAAAACACGTAAGTTTTTCGATCGTGTAAGTCAATCACCAAGCCGGTTCACCATATGTGACTTACTTATCGGTGTTAAAAACGTAAGTAATCGAATCAGAAAAGGAAAAAAAGGGGGTGGTTAGCTTAAGTCAAAGGTGGTCCTCTCTAGTTGTTCATTTTTTTTTTTTTTTTTTGCAGGGCGAGGGGCGGGAAAGATTGATGCCCCCCCCCCCCTGCAAGAGCACGAAAATCAGTTTTAGTGCGCAAGCACGCGATTAAATGACGGACCGGCTGGGTAGATTGACTTAGACTTAGAATGAAAAATACTTTCACATCCTATTTTTGATAATCTTTTTTTGTGGCATACAATCACATTTATTCTTGCTTGCTTGAGGTTTGACCATTTTTTGTTAAATCACCAGCAGCATTTTGTTAAACTCACACAACCACGCACCAATACTGGTTACCTACCAGAATGAATGCTTGTTCCGTGACAAGGTATAAATTATTATTACTAACCTGGTTCATCTCTAGTTATTTGCTCGTCCACTCACGGTGACGGGATGTGAAATCTGGTTCATCTATCAATCACAATCCACGTGATTTGTCTTTTTTAAATAGTCGCGGGAACAGTAGCGATGTTCTTATTCATCTGTTATAATTGGTAGAGTGGAAATAAGTGGAACATTGTCTTACTTGATATTTTCCACTTGTTCCGTCTTTTTTAACATTTCTGTTTTTCATTTTTTTTTTTCTAATGCGGGAATTTAAAATCTCAAATTTTAATTTGGTTAATCTTTTTTTCTTTTTTTTTTAACTATGTGGGATTATGAATAATATTTTTTCTTTCAATCAGCTCTAGCGTGTCACAAAAGTTATTTCAGAGGGATACATTTCAAATTGTAACAAAATTATGCCTGGAATTTGTGTTTGTTTTATTTTTGAGATTAACTGAATTTTTAGGTTTAAAAAATACTTGTATCACTCTTGTGTTGGCTACATTAAGAAGAAAAAACCCAAGAGATTTCAGTAGAAATTTTTTTTAGACAAAAAAATTGAGCTTTTTAAAATTTAATTTTGGTATTCACTTGTAAACAATCTGAATTATTTTTCTATTATTGATCACTGGACTAAATTAGGTTGTAGATAGGCATTTCATTTGTTTTGTCTTAACTTTGCTGTACTTGGGATAACTGTAACGAACAGGTAC